CCTGTGTCACGGCTGGGGTCCGCCCCTATATATAGACCCCATGGCCGCGACACACGTTCTCTTTAATTTTCTCAGCGGACGTCCGTATGGTTTGAGGTACAAACTTTCGGAAGTTCGCTTGGTAAGTCACTGTTAAGTGTAATATCTTGCGTGGAAGTATACTCACTGGCTGTTTGCAACCTGGAGCAGCTGGCCACATGGCCAGCCCCTCCTCTTGAGTGCTCCACTCGCTGCCCGCGGTTGATCTGTATCTTCCGCCCGTGGTTTGTTGTACTTGTGTTTCGTTAGTGTTACACTACGACTCCGTGTGCATCCATTATTATGGTGGCTCTTGCTGCACAAATTGTAATTTACCTCACACAACTTGCCGACTGGCTTGTTCTATGTGTGTGTTGTGAATTGCTTTAACATGCTGATTGTCTGCTAATTACCCTGCAGGGTTTTTTCTTTCCCCTGCAGAGTGTAAGAGTATCGTGGTGGGCTTTCCACTACGTTGAGATATTAACTTTGGAGTTCCTTAACGTTACTCCATCATATGGTTCTGTTTTTATTGCTTGGATATTAAACCGGCTAGGTAATATTGCAGTTGGCATAAAACCAAAGGATAGCTGTAGATAGATACATTCTCCAGTAGGAGGTGCTGCCCAGCCTATAGTTTTTTTTTCTGTTAGTGAACATAAAGTTAAAGATCTGACCTTGTTTTAAAGGTACAAATTCAACATATTTTATACAAGGTTTGTCATTGCTGAAATTTGGTTACCTTGATAAATAATTGTGTGGTTGAAATTTCACACTCAAAACAACAGTCATCAAAAAGTCATCAAAAAGTTGATGACTTTTTTCAAATCCAATGTATTTTCCACGTAGATTCCATGTCACAATACGTTGACTAATTTACTTTGAAACAATGTTGATTCAACCAGTTTGTGGCCAGTGGGTGTTTTCTTCAAAAGCACACAAAGGGATTCCTAGGAAAGGAAATCATGTAGGACTGGTGTTTGCAAACCCACTGACTAGCACTTTGGAATTATAATGTTGTCAATTGGGAGAGTTTCACAAAAGATTATGAAATGTGCTGATATCCAAACATTCAACGAATATACTGCAATATTGATCCTCAAACATATTTTGTTTAGCTGAGTTAGCGTCCCTTCACACACAGTGTGTTTGTATTCTAATCTGCAACTCCTCCCTCCTTTCACTTCTGAGGTACTTTAACCACAACACAACGTCTATGTCCTGGAATGGCACTATATTGTGCCTGTGATGATCGAGTTTAAACATGCTGCCCATGCCTCATTAACTAACACTGCTGACAGTCTCGCATACTCTTATGACACATAGCTTTCCAGGTAAAGAATGTTGAGTGTGTGCCTCAAACCAATAGAGGAGTAATGTTAACAACGTGATTTTATTAATCTGATCTCTCACATAGATCAGTGATGGCGCCAACCAGTGTGCATCATGTTGTCATTTGTGTCGCCTTTGACCCCTGTGAATCAGCCCCATGTCATCCTATTGGTTGCTATTTGTATGTGTTAATCCAGGTTTCTATTGTAACAGCTTTCTGCTGAGTGCTTTTATCAAGTTCATGTTCTACATCAACCACAGGTTGTATTTGTAAACATGTAATTCGCTCCTGACAACCTGTTAAACTAACGATCACTATCCCTGATGTGATATCCCTGTCTTACGTACGTGCGTGCGCACGTTCACTATGTACAAGGAGGATTATATATCTCCAGGAATGTATCTGATCACAAAGCAAAGATATAAGAATCCCCCTAGAGAGAGAGAGGGTCATTCTGTCACACTTTCATGGCTACACCATCTACACCATTCATTGGTTTATCCAGAAGTTGTAAAAGGAAGTATATATCACAGGTAAGAACTATGATGGATATTTACAATACTAATAGTACATATGTATAACATTTACCAAGGGTGTTTACCAGACATAATCAATCTATTCTGGGCTTGGTGTATTGACCTGTTTGATACCTTAAAATTGTACATGTTATCATAGTAATTAATTTTATATTGCTATTTTATTTGGCTAATCTAAAACTGTAAGACACTGATACCCTGGCGTGTCCTCTAAGATGACTTTTAGGACCCAGACAGACACAGTAGTACTGTATCCATCATTGTAGCCTATGGCTAGAACGTTTATCTTATAAACTCTCTGGAGAGCCAGATAGGTACAGATGAGCTCCGCTCTCCTGACTGAGTGTGAGGTCCAGTCTCTTGGCTACAGTATGTGTGAAGTGTACGATCCTATTAGTTCTGTTGAACAGAGATGTTGGCAAAAAGGCAGTTACTTCTGAATGGGGCTGTCTAACAGCATCTCAATCCCAGTGTCCTAATCTCCAAAGAATGGATGACGGCTGGGGTTTAAAGGTGTTAGATGACATTTTTCTCTCTGTGTTTTATTGCATTTTAACTGAAATGAAAGAGCCTACTCCTGTAAACCATTGCAGAGAGATAAAGACAGGAAAAACCAGCCTGCTACATTACGTAGGTTGCACACGTAGAGAAACCCCTATCTGATCTAGGCAATGGTCAACAGACGCCTCTTTAAGAGATATGACAGAGGCAGTTTAGCTCCCCTCTTAACCTCCTGTCATTTTAGTCTCATTAGTGTCTCCTGTCGATGCACTGGCCCCTATTGAGGTCACATACTGTCCACTATGTCCAGTGCCAAGTGTAATACAGTCAAAAGGTCCACTTTAATGTGAACATAAGAAGATGTTATCTTTCTGCGGAGGGTGGGGGGAGGGGTGTTGTAAAACAGTAGTTGTTGACCCTAACCCCACCTAACACTGAACACATTTCATAGCAAAAAAGAGAACATTTCCGTGAATATACTGTATGTATTTCTTTGGACAGTATCAAAGGAAATGTGGGAGAATAACCTGAAGCTGTGTTGAGGACAGGTGTGGATGAAAGACATTGCCATAGCCCAATCAGTGATAAAGCAGAAACAGACCCAGCCTCACCATGTCTGTGAACCGCAAGATGTCCAAAAGATTAAGCAGCAAGAAGAAGAGTAAGTTCCAGAAGCAAATATATTTGCAAATATATTTTGTAAGGCCCTACACCAGTAAATCATAAATCAATACTAGATTTAGTATGCTGTGTGTACTTTTGCGATGACCGAATAATTTATATTGAAACACAACCTAACTGTTTCAGAGACTCCAGTGGACAAGGCCCAGAAGGAGGTTATGTTCAAGTTGGGCATAGAGGCTTTCTGGACCACCCCTCTGGACCTGGCATTCATGTTGGATATCAGCACCTGGAGCCTGGAGAACCAGCTGCCCCTGCAGGGCAAGTACCTCCCCCGGGCCTTCCTTCAATGCCTTTGGCTGCTCAGCCCCCAGGCCCGGAGCGCCTGCTGCCAACCCCCTGCTGAAGCTCCACCTGATGCTCCACAAGAGGAGACCCTTCCTGGGCTCGGTGAGGAGGACACTCAGTGTGTCGTCAACCCCCTGGATCTGGTGACCGCAGTCTACATGTCTGCCAACAGCTTCCTGCAGCAGGAGATGATGGCCCGGATGGTGCAGAGCCAGTTTGCTGTGCCTTTCCTTATGACCCCCATTGGCCCAGACCAGCCAGGGTGTTTCCTGCTCTGGTCTCTGCGAGGAGTAGTGGGACAGTGGATGACACACTCTCTGGCAGAATGCAGTGGCACCCTGGAGGGAGACTTGGCGAGCACTGAGATGCCATTGCTCTATTGTGTGAAGCTTGGCCGCTGCAGTGTCTCCAAGTCACAGGTGCTGAGCCATGTAATGGAAAGTTCCCAGAGCTCCAATGAGTGATTTCTGCAATGGCCTAGTGGAGTTATGCTGGTACATCCCTTCTGGCGACCACAACCGGGATGTTTTCCATGAGCCAGTGGCAATTGCTAACCTCCGTGGGGATGCCGCCACACATGAGAAACACTTCAACTTCCTGTGCTGAGCCTCATCTGCCATCATTGGGTTCTGTGGGAACTTCAGGGAAATGGAACGCCAACTGTTAGCCTCCTGGAAGGGCATGGCCAGGTAGGTCATTCTCATTGACCCCTCCCAGGGTCTAGAGGAGGAGGAGGAGGAAAAGGAGAATGGGGTAGAGACTCAGAAGCTAGGTGATGGTCTTAATCTACCTGAAGGGGTGGTGCTGTCTGGTTGTGGTGTTAGCGAGGAAGATTTGGCAGAAGAGCTGATTGAGGCCCTAAATCGCCTGATACCTGTTAGGCTGACTTCTGTGGCCATTGAGGATGCAGTAGGTATAGCCGAGGAGCTAGGCCTCATTGGGGATGAAGGGGCGATGTGTAGGAAGGCATTGTCTCAGGTTGAGGAAGTGCTGAGGGGAATAGATGAGTGAGCTACCCAGTACAGGCCACAGCAACTGCCTTAACAGGTGGAATTTTGGAGTAGGTTAGCAGAGGTGGAGAAAGAGGAGAGCTGTCATAAAGATGCGAGACAGGAGGTAAGCCAGCAGCTGCAAACAGAAAAGAAAAGTCTCCTCCAAGAGCTCGGAAGTTACAAGATGTCACCCGCCATGAAGGTTTTCACTGATGCCCTCTGCACTGCAGACAAACAGGAGAGAGCCTATTTTCTGACCTGGATGAGGCTAAGGCAAGGCAGCAGAGGCAACATTCACCCATCCAACAACATTCACCAATCCAACAACATTCACCCATCCAACAATATTATTCCATCCAACAGCTTAGTCAAGACCAGTATGGAGAAGCAATGGATGGAATCAGCGAGGAACACAAAGAAGGAGCAATTGATGAAACCAGCAAGGAGCATGGCTATGAAGTAGTGAATGAAACCAATGATAAGCCTGAAGAAATGATTGGAACCAGTGAGGATCCTTGTCGGGAATCATCGATTGGAACCAGTGAAGAGCCTGGAGAAGAACAGCAGATGAAGCTGGAGCAGCTGGTGGAACAGCAACAGGAACAGGGACTTGACCCCTCTGTTCTGGGTCTTGAGCACCTCCTGTGAGAGATGGGTCTGGTCTTTGAGATGACCCACAATAGCCCAGTCAGTGGGACCTACAACGTGCTATGCCTCCCCAGTGTTGCGGCTGACCTGCTCCTGTATGGGGTCTCCCTGGAGCTCCTGGATGGGGATGCATCCGCTGTGCCACGTAGCTGGGTGGGCTGCGTCCTGGCCGAGTTCAACCGACGTCTGCCAACGAAAGGCGTCATGGCCCACGTTATGACATCACTGGGGGTCCACAGTGCCAGGAACTCAGAGGTATTCTCTGCTCTGTTTGGGGTGCACTTCCCAAGGGGAGGGAGACGTTGCACCAGGGGGGCATACATGCTAGCACTGAGCCTACCAGGCAATCTGAAGAAGGACATAGAGTGTGACTTCCTGCTGATGATTGATGTAGAGGGACTCTGTTCTCCAGGACTGTCCAAGCAGGAGGACACCTTGGAGCATGACAACGAGATGGCCACCCTGGTTGTGGGGCTGACTGACGTCATTCTGCAGAACATGCCTCCAGATGGTGTTAATGAGATGCTAAAGTGTGTGACTCAGATCCTTGAGGCAGAGGCTGAAGAGGCAACAGCTGCTCCTGAGCCTGACAACCCTATAGAGAGTGTTCCCTGTTGTATACCCTGCCTGATCAGGCCTTGGCAGAATGTCTCTCTCTGTCCCTGTTGACGAAGAACACAGCAAAAGTGTTTTGCAGCTAAAGCAGAACTTGTTTGAAGCTTTGAAGAAGAGCGGAGACCAAGGCAACGAGTTTGCCTGAGTTTATGGGGCGTCTGTGTAGTGTTTGGGACACTGTGAGAGAGGGGACATTTCACATTGGGTTTGGGAATACGGAGGTGGCCTAGGCCTTCTGCATACTGTGCACAGAGTTCTCACAATGGGAGAGGAACTTTCTGGAACCAATGGAGGCCTGGTTCATAGGGGCTCTGGATCGGATCATCACATGCAAGGCAATGACTTTGGAGAAAGGAGGTGACCCTCTTGGTGTGCTGAAGGAGGAAGCCATGACTGAAGTCAAGGTAGAGGTAGACAAAATCCGGTCAACACTGGAGGATAACTTGAAGAAGGATGACCTCCACACAGCGTATATTGAAATGTACAAGCCACATTTTTTTAATAGTTTGAATGTGCTCCAGGAATAGGCAACAAGTGAGATTATTAAGAAGCTACAGAGTGCTACAGAAGATCATTACTCCTCCACAAAGCTGATGAGATTTTAGACAGTATTGGATGCTAAGAAGGAGGTGAAGCTGCATGCACTGATAGAGAGCAGCAAGCTCAACAACTATTTTCTAGAGGACAAGCAGCTGGAAGAGGAGTTTGAAGGTTTGTGGTCTGAGTCGCTCTCTAACTTTGACTTTAGACCTTCAGAGGGTGATCCAAAAGCTGAAAGAGGACCTCACAAGCCGTGGACTGCGCAAGCACATGCAGAAGCTCAACGATATTGGCAAAGAGATCCTGTCTAGCTTAATTTTTTATGATGAGCACTTTGGCTACCTCAGCAGGTTAAAGCACATGCTTGAAGAGAACAACAGGTTGCAGAGATTAGAGGCACATAGGTTAGCGACAAGAATTACAGAAGAATACAACGACTTTGTGAGAGAGAAATCTGCAGTGGTAGCAGACTTCTCTAACAGGAAATCATTGACAAGGCGTTAAAGGCAAAGCCCATGGAGATTAGGTCTGCGTTTGAAGTCGATCTGAAGGTTTATCTCTGTAGCACTGCTTGTCTTGTCGCGACTTCCAGAAAATGCACGACCGCTATGGAAGAGACAGAGATTTCCTTATGTATCTAAACGGGAGAAAGAACAGATTCCTGGGGGAGTTCATTTTACCAGTTCCGTAAGAGGGACCAAGGTCACAGGGTAGCCCAGGCATTCACCACCATGGTTCTCAAACTGGCAGCCCTGGACTACATATACAGACCTCTGTGCATTCAGATTATGGAGGAGATGGTGAGTGGTGATGACGTCCAGCGGTACCTCTCCCCTCAGGACTTCAACTGCAGCCTCCTGGTGGAGATGATGTAGGAGGACTGCTTCGAGAGCTTCCTGGAGTACCTGCTGTCCCACGAGAACTTCAGCCTCAAGAGGATCCAGGATAGAGTGGCGGAATATCTCACAAGGACAGCCATGAGTGGAGGCAGCAGCGCCTGGTAGAGATCGTAGGCAAGATTGGTGTTAGAGGGGTGCTGAGTGATACTAAGCTGCTGCTGGAGAAGGTGTGTCTCACTCTGGAGGTGACTGGAGATGTTACAGTCAACCGGAGCTCAATGGAAGGGCCTCTCTTCCATATCACTACTGAATGGTCCCGCTTTGTAACATACCTGTTTTAAGCCTTGGCAGAGATGTATCTGGCACTATCGCAGGAGTTCTCTCAAAACACAGATGTCATCGAGATCCTCCAGACCCTTCCCATCAAGCCCCAGAGCAGCCTCTTTGACAGGGTGCGAGAGTGTGAAAAGCAATTCCCTTTCTGCAAGGCCCCGTGTGAGGCGGGTCAGAGCGATCATGAAGTACACAAAGCTCTTCTCCATCTGCCCAAGGGCCTGCTGTCCTACACCTGATGATTCTGTCTCTCTTTCATATAATACCTGCCCCTCTGAAATGGCCAGAGACAGGCTGTTTCAGAACAGGGACACAGAGGGCAAGTCCCGTCCTTACATGGACTACCGCTACCTCTACCCTGACTGGAGCATCCCCCCAGAGGATCCCAACAGCCAGATACCCAGTGCCTATTGGAGGCATGTGCTGGTGAGGTTTAATACCAGGTTTGCACAGGAGGGACCCTGCCCTGCTGCCTGGAGAGTGGCACAAGATTACCCAGGAAGAGGCGCTAGAGAGCCTGAGAGAGGCATTCCACACAGAGCAATGCTGAAGGAAGCTTTACTGCTTGACAATATGCTATTAAATAATAATAATAATATGTTTTTTTTTAAATATTGACAGACTTATACTCATATTCATATAAATTAGGGGTTGGAACCGGTTAACGGAACGGAACAGAACAGAAAACTGGAAAATAACTGTATTTTTCCAGGAACAGAAACAGAACTGAGAACGAAGGTGATCCATACTGTTCCGGAACAGAACCGTTATTTTAAAAGCATGGAAACCGGTTAATAATGTTTTTTTATGTTCCAGGCATTATTTTCTAGACCCACAAAAAAACGCAACAAAGCGTCTATGCAAAGCCCTCTGTCACTCAGAAACTTATTCCAGTGTCTGCCTGCAAGCTGAAAATCTTTGCCAGTGTGTGTGCATGTTTAGGCTAACTGCCACTCCCCCCTCTGAAGCATAGGCTACTACTGCCTATAGTACTGATGTTACAAGCATGATTCAGAAGCTAGGGAGAGAGATTTTTTATTAGCTATAGTTAAGGATACTATAGGCCTAGTTATCACGTTTCAGGTTGGATTTATTAACTACAAAAAGGTAAGACGTGTTTTTAATTCTGGTGGAGCTCTGCACACACAAGCTTTTTAGCTATCTAGCTCAAAGGACATTCAAAGATCCTCCATATAAGCCTCTCCTCCTAGGTATAATTCAGTGGACCTAATTCAGATAATGCATGTCATAACAAGATGCCCAGCGCTTCAAGCCTGCTCCTCAACCCTCTCTTGCTCTCTACGCACATGCACAATTTCAGTCGCATTGCCATAGGCTACACTTGTCTGTCCATCACGCATGTAAACAACTAGCTTGCCTGATCTATCCGCACTGATTGGTGAAGTCATTTAATGAGCTAAATGTAAAAAACTGTTGATTTCAGAGGTTAAAAAAGGAACAGAAAGGAACAATATAAACCGGTACTTTTTTTGGTTTGAACCGGTTCAGAACGTTATTTTGCTAGTCGGAACAGTGGAAAAAATAGTTGTTCTGTTCAGAATGGTTCGATCCAACCCCTGATATGAAGTGATATAATCAAAGTGTAATTAGTTTAAAAGAATAAATGCAAAACTTTGTGAAAAGATTAGATATATTTTTATATACAGTACCAGTCAAAAGTTTGGACACACCTACTCATTCAAGGGTTTTTCTTTATTTTTTACTATTTTCTACATTGTATAATAATAGTGAAGACATCAAAACTATGAAATAACACATATGGAATCATGTAGTAACCAAAAAAGTGTTAAACAAATCAAAATATATTTTATATTTGAGATTCTTCAAATAGCCACCCTTTGCCTTAATATATGTTGATTTGTTTAACACTTTTTTGGTTACTACATGATTCCATATGTGCTATTTCATAGTTTTGATGTCTTCACTATTATTCTACAATGTAGAAAATAGTTAAAATAAAGAAAAACCCTGGAATGAGTAGGTGTGTCAAAACTTTTGACTGGTACTGTATATATAATCAAAATGCTTTGTTACAATGGGGGGAATTAAATATAATATATTTTGATTTAATTCTTAATTTTCACTGTAAGGGTAAATCATTGATCAATTAATATACATCCTTACTTTGAATGTGATCTAAAAGGTTTCACAACAGGCAAATTGTATGATTATGTTAGAAGGATGCACTGCTTATTTTGCTTGATTTTTTTTATTACAACTTTTAAAAAATTGTAACAGACTTTATGCCAGTCTTTCTTTATTCAACATTGTGGGCCCCAATGTGGCAGTTGATAGAGCATGGCACTTGCAACACCAGGGTTTTGGGACCAGTACGAAAATGTATGTACTTATTACTGTAAATCGCTCTGGATAAGAGCGTCTGCTAAATTACTAAAATGTAAATGCCAATATAAAAATAATGCTTATCAACATAATAATACACTTTGCAAAAATATTAACCTTTAAGTTACAATCTGTGGACACTATGTGATTATAAAGGTTCCGAATATATGTAAAACATCACAGCACAGTTGAAAATATATAGCATATGGAAATCAAGCGAGGGTGGTCTGGTGTGGTGGGATTAAAAACTCAAGATCTGTAATAGTTATGACTGAAAATACTACGTCACATTATATTCCGGATCTGTCTGAGTACTATGTATCCAAATGTAACGTATATATAAAAACACTGTAATGTAATATTGTGTATAAAAGTAGGCAATCATGTATGTAAATTAACAAATGTATATGTAACAAAATTGTTGTAAAACAAAGGTATTTGTGACCGGTTACAGGATCTGAGGTGTTAGACGCCAGTTCCTACTTCACAGTAGGGCCATTTTTTATTTTTTTAAATAATAATAATAATAATATATATTATATATATACAGTGGCTTGCGAAAGTATTCACCCCCCTTGGCATTTTTCCTATTTTGTTGCCTTACAACCTGGAATTAAAATTGATTTTTGGGGGGTTTGTATCATTTGATTTACACAACATGCCTACCACTTTGAAGATGCAAAATATTTTTTACTGTGAAACAAACAAGAAATACAGTGGGGGAAAAAAGTATTTAGTCAGCCACCAATTGTGCGAGTTCTCCCACTTAAAAAGATGAGAGAGGTCTGTAATTTTCATCATAGGTACACGTCAACTATGACAGACAAATTGAGGAAAAAAAATCCAGAAAATCACATTGTAGGATTTTTTATTAATTTATTTGCAGATTATGGTGGAAAATAAGTATTTGGTCACCTACAAACAAGCAAGATTTCTGGCTCTCACAGACCTGTAACTTCTTCTTTAAGAGGCTCCTCTGTCCTCCACTCGTTACCTGTATTAATGGCACCTGTTTGAACTTGTTATCAGTATAAAAGACACCTGTCCACAACCTCAAACAGTCACACTCCAAACTCCACTATGGCCAAGACCAAAGAGCTGTCAAAGGACACCAGAAACAAAATTGTAGACCTGCACCAGGCTGGGAAGACTGAATCTGCAATAGGTAAGCAGCTTGGTTTGAAGAAATCAACTGTGGGAGCAATTATTAGGAAATGGAAGACATACAAGACCACTGATAATCTCCCTCGATCTGGGGCTCCACGCAAGATCTCACCCCGTGGGGTCAAAATGATCACAAGAACAGTGAGCAAAAATCCCAGAACCACACGGGGGGACCTAGTGAATGACCTGCAGAGAGCTGGGACCAAAGTAACAAAGCCTACCATCAGTAACACACTACGCCGCCAGGGACTCAAATCCTGCAGTGCCAGACGTGTCCCCCTGCTTAAGCCAGTACATGTCCAGGCCCGTCTGAAGTTTGCTAGAGTGCATTTGGATGATCCAGAAGAGGATTGGGAGAATGTCATATGGTCAGATGAAACCAAAATAGAACTTTTTGGTAAAAACTCAACTCGTCGTGTTTGGAGGACAAAGAATGCTGAGTTGCATCCAAAGAACACCATACCTACTGTGAAGCATGGGGGTGGAAACATCATGCTTTGGGGCTGTTTTTCTGCAAAGGGACCAGGACGACTGATCCGTGTAAAGGAAAGAATGAATGGGGCCATGTATCGTGAGATTTTGAGTGAAAACCTCCTTCCATCAGCAAGGGCATTGAAGATGAAACGTGGCTGGGTCTTTCAGCATGACAATGATCCCAAACACACCACCCGGGCAACGAAGGAGTGGCTTCATAAGAAGCATTTCAAGGTCCTGGAGTGGCCTAGCCAGTCTCCAGATCTCAACCCCATAGAAAATCTTTGGAGGGAGTTGAAAGTCTGTGTTGCCCAGCAACAGCCCCAAAACATCACTGCTCTAGAGGAGATCTGCATGGAGGAATGGGCCAAAATACCAGCAACAGTGTGTGAAAACCTTGTGAAGACTTACAGAAAACGTTTGACCTGTGTCATTGCCAAAAAAAAGGGTATATAACAAAGTATTGAGAGTTTTTTGTTATTGACCAAATACTTATTTTCCACCATAATTTGCAAATAAATTCATTAAAAATCCTACAATGTGATTTTCTGGATTTTGTTTTCTCATTTTGTCTGTCATAGTTGACGTGTACCTATGATGAAAATTACAGGCCTCTCTCATCTTTTTAAGTGGGAGAACTTGCACAATTGGTGGCTGACTAAATACTTTTTTTCCCCACTGTAAGACAAAAAAACAGAAAACTTGACCGTGCATAACTATTCACCCCCCCCCCCCCCCCAAAGTCAATACTTTGTAGAGCCACCTTTTGCAGCAATTACAGCTGCAAGTCTCTTGTGGTATGTGTCTATAAGCTTGGCACATCTAGCCACTGGGATTTTTGCCCATTCTTCAAGGCAAGACTGCTCCAGATCCTTCAAGTTGTATGGGTTCCGCTGGTGTACAGAAATCTTTAAGTCATACCACAGATTCTCAATTGGATTGAGGTCTGGGCTTTGACTAGGCCATTCAGAGACATTTAAATGTTTCCCCTTAAACCACTCAAGTGTTGCTTTAGCAGTATGCTTAGGGTCATTGTACTGCTGGAAGGTGAACCTCCTTCCCAGTCTCAAATCTCTGGAAGACTGAAACAGGTTTCCCTCAAGAATTTCCCTGTATTTAGCGCCATCCATCATTCCTTCAATTCTGACCAGTTTCCCAGTCCCTGCCAATGAAAAACAGGGGGATGGTGTTCTTGGGGTGATGAGAGGTGTTGCTTTTGTGCCAGACATAGCGTTTTCCTTGAAGGCCAATAAGCTCAATTTTAGTCTCATCTGACCCGAGTATGTTCTTCTATATGTTTGGGGAGTCTCCCACATGGCTTTTGGCGAACACCAAACGTGTTTGCTTATTTTTTTCTTTAAGAAATTGCTTTTTTCTGGCCACTCTTCCGTAAAGCCCAGCTCTGTGGATTGTACAGCTTAAAGTGGTCCTATGGACAGATACTCCAATCTCTGCTTTGGAGCTTTGCAGCTCCTTCAGGGTTATCATTGGTCTCTTTGTTGCCTCTTTGATTAATGCCCTCCTTGCCTGGTCCGTGAATTTTGGTGGGCGGCCCTCTCTTGGCAGGTTTGTTGTGGTGCCATATTCTTTCCATTTTTTTAATAATGGATTTAATGGTGCTCCGTGGGATGTTTAAAGTTTCTGATATGTTTTTATAACCCAACCCTGATCTGTACTTCTCCACAACTTTGTCCCTGACCTATTTGGAGAGCTCTTTGGTCTTCATGGTACCGCATGCTTGTTGGTGCCCCTTGTTTAGTGGTGTTGCAGACTCTGGGGTCTTTCAGAACAGGTGTATATATACTGAGATCATGTGACACTTAGATTGCACACAGGTGGTTTTTTTAACAAATTATGTGACTTCTGAAGGTAATTGGTTGCACCAGATCTTATTTAAGGGCTTCATACCAAAGGGGGTGAATACAGATGCACGCACCACTTTTCCGTTATTTATTTTTTAGAATTTCTTGAAATAAGTTATTTTTTTCATTTCACTTCACCAATTTGGACTATTTTGTGTATGTCCATTACATGAAATCCAAATAAAAATCATTTTAAATTACAGGTTGTAATGCAACAAAATAGGAAAAACGCCAAGGGGGATGTATACTTTTGCAAGGCACTGTATATATTAGAACTGCATTCTTGAAATTGTGAACTTTCATATTCCATAATTACAAACTTGTATGGGATCCAGAAATATGAATACAAATGTTAAATTATGAGCCTAGTTTAGCAAAGGAGAAAGCACTTAGCTATATCGGGAGAATGAAAAGATCTTTCCTGGATAGTCATGATTGGCTGAGATAATGGAGTGGTTAGCCATTCCTGATTGGTCTGTCACGTCACAGGCTTCTGTCTATAACAGAATGGGGGCTTCCCTGGTCAGTATACAGTATAGATCATCTTTGCTAACGCAGATTCTTGAAAATATATAGCTTTGGACAACTGGAGAAGTGTTGCCACAGCTCTCAAAAACATTGCTGCCCTGAATTTAGCTGGGTTTAACCTTTTACCGCAGTGGGCTAAATCAGGGTCACACAGAGTGATTCTTGGTAGTCTTATACAAATCTACTTTGAAACAAAAGTATACACCTCACACACATGGTTATGGGCTTTAAAAAAAGATGATACCTATAATATGTCAGAAATAGAGTTGAAATGTATTCAATTTTGAGTTTGCATCCCAATATTACACTTTATATCCATCACAGAAGACTGAAATATAACAAAACTATTTGACATAGAAACACCAGATTTTCTTTATTAATGATGACATTATGAAAAATATGAATAACATTGCACCCATGACTGTCACGCTCTGGCTCCGGGACTGTGTTGTTTGAGCCAGGGTGTATTCATTTGGTTGTGTTGGGTATAGGGTGTGTTCATTTGTTGTGTTTGGTATTGGTTTTGTTTTCCGTGTTTGGTCAAGTGACTCCCAATCGGAGGTAACGAGTGTCAGCTGTCGGCTCGTTATCTCTGATTGGGAGCCATATTTAAACTGTCTGTGTTCACCTTATGTTTGTGGGTTTTTGTTCCATGTTCAGTCATTGTCACTGTGGACTTCACTATCGTCATTTGTTTTGTTGTTTTCGTGGTTGCTTTAATTTAATAAAGTCAACATGTTCGCTAAACACGCTGCGCCTTGGTCCGCTTCCTTAGACGATCGTGACAGAAAAACCCACCACAAAAGGACCAAGCAGCGTATACAGGAACACCCGCAGGAGAGAACGCTGGTGGATGTCCTCCTCGGCTGGGGACATATTACGCAGGAGGAGGCCGTCCGGTACCGGAGGGCGATGAAGGGGGAGAACCTGGCAGGAGAGGAGCAACGGCGTCAGCAGGGCCATCGTCGGATGGAAGAGAGGCAACCCCAAAAAAATGTTGGGGGGGGGGCACATGGCTTGGGCGGCTGGGCAGCAGGCGGCTGCTACAGGACGTTTTGGAGAGGTGGTCACTGGGTGTTGGGAGGCAGAAGGCAGGTTGGCGAGGCCTGGAGGTAGAGCGGAACCAACTTCCCGTACTCAGGCATGGCAGCGTGAGACGGGGCAGGTTCCGCGGTGTGCGGAGCAGCGTACTGTGCCACGAGTGGTCCGGCACAGTCCTGTACGTCCTGTGCAAGCACCCCGCACGTGTCGTGCGAAGGGGGGGATGCAGCCAGGACGGAGTGTGCCGGATCTACGCTCGAGGTCTCCAGTGCCTCTCCGCGGTCCCGGATATCCTGCTCCCGTATCGCGTGCTGTCATGTCGGTACGGGTTCACAGCCCTGTACGTCCTGTGCGGATGCCTCACGCAGAGTGTGTGAGGGTAGGCATCCAGCCAGGACGGGTGGTGGCCGCTCTTCGCTCCAGGTCTCCTATCTGTCTCCACAGTCCGGTGAGGCCTGTCCCAGCTCCACGCACCAAACCTACGGTGTGCGTCGCCAGCCCAGCCCGGCCTGTTCCTGCTCCACGTACGAAGCCTACAGTGTGCGTCGCCAGCCCAGCCCGGCCTGTTCCTGCTCCACGTACGAAGCCTACGGGGTGCGTCGCCAGCCCAGCCCGGCCTGTTCCTGCTCCACGTACGAAGCCTACGGGGTGCGTCGCCAGCCCAGCCCGGCCTGTTCCTGCTCCACGTACGAAGCCTACGGTGTGCGTCGCCAGCCCAGCCCGGCCTGTTCCTGCTCCACGTACTAAGGCTAAGGTGTGCGTCGCCAGCCCAGCCCGGCCTGTTCCTGCCACTCGCACCAAACCAGGGGTGCGAGTCGCCAGCCTGGTCCAGCCCGTTCCTGCTACTCGCACCAAGACAAGGGTGCGAGTCGTCAGCCTGGTCCAGCCTGTTCCTGCTACTCGCACCAAGCCAAGGGTGCGAGTCATCAGCCTGGTTCAGCTCGTCCCTGCTACTCGCACCAAGCCAAGGGTGCGAGCCGTCAGCTTGATCCAGCCCATTCCTGCTACTCGCACCAAGCCAGGGGTGCGCGTCGGAGGTCCTGATCCAGCAAGCTGGGTCAGATCGGACCGGGGGCACTACGGGGGGAGTGAAGTGGGGTGGTGGTCAAGCCCGGAGCCGGAGCCGCCTCCGAGGAGCAACACCCACCCAGCCCTCCCCTATTTTGGGGTGTAGGCGCGGTCGGAGTCCGCGCCTTTAGGGGGGGGTACTGTCACGCTCTGGCTCCGGGACTGTGTTGTTTGAGCCAGGGTGTATTCATTTGGTTGTGTTGGGTATAGGGTGTGTTCATTTGTTGTGTTTGGTATTGGTTTTGTTTTCCGTGTTTGGTCAAGTGACTCCCAATCGGAGGTAACGAGTGTCAGCTGTCGGCTCGTTATCTCTGATTGGGAGCCATATTTAAACTGTCTGTGTTCACCTTATGTTTGTGGGTTTTTGTTCCATGTTCAGTCATTGTCACTGTGGACTTCACTATCGTCATTTGTTTTGTTGTTTTCGTGGTTGCTTTAATTTAATAAAGTCAACATGTTCGCTAAACACGCTGCGCCTTGGTCCGCTTCCTTAGACGATCGTGACAATGACGCCAAAGAGGGAGCTTTTGGCCATTGACTGCAGGAAAGGTCTACATTAGATTTTTGGTTGAGATGGAGAAGTGAATCCATCAGATCAATTATTAATTTGTAGACAAACTGGAATTAAAGCCAGACTAAGTCAGTGGGACAAATGGAGCTATCCAAAAAGAAGATACATCTCCTTCAAATGTTGATATTTGGTTGTGTTGTCAACCAAACACAATCAAATATCACTTTTAAAATACAATAAATTACCTATTAACTTGTCGACAAGTTAACAAATTATATGTTGGATTCACGTCAACAATTCAACCAAAAATAAAAGTGAAGGAACGGGATTAAGCCAGTGGCTCAGATGGAACTATACAAGCAGTAGTAGATGCATCTCATTTAAATGTTGACATGTGGTTGCATTGTCATCCAAACACAATTCAATATTACTTTTGTAATACAGTAAATAGCCTAAAGTTAAGACTATCTTACAAACTAATGTAACATTCAACCTTAAAATGAGTAACACATCCATGGCCACATTTTGAGGTTGCTGTAACTATGCATTTATTCTTATATAATCATATAAAGCGTGCATGTTCAAGATAGCATGCATAGGTCATCGCAGGTATGTGGAGATCTTCACAATTGCTTTAATAATCTGCACAGAATCTCAAACGGCATTGATCACTAGCACCATCTAGTTTTAATGTACAGTGAGGGAAAAAAGTATTTGATCCCCTGCTGATTTTGTACGTTAGCCCACTGACAAAGAAATGATCAGTCTATAACTTTAATGGTAGGTTTATTTGAACAGTGAGAGACAGAATTACAACAAACAAATCCAGAAAAACGCATTTCAAAAATGTTATAAATTGATTTGCATTTTAATGAGGGAAATAAGTATTTGACCCATCTGCAAAACATGACTTAGTACTTGGTGGCAAAACCATTGTTGGCAATCACAGAGGTCAGACATTTCTTGTAGTTGGCCACCAGGTTTGCACACATCTCAGGAGGGTTTTGTCCCACTCCTCTTTGCAGATCTTCTCCAAGTCATTAAGGTTTCGGGCCTGACATTTGGCAACTCGAACCTTCAGCTCCCTCCACAGATTTTCTATGGGATTAAGGTCTGGAGACTGGCTAGGCCACTCCAGGACCTTAATGTGCTTCTTCTTGAGCCACTCCTTTGTTGCCTTGGCCGTGTGTTTTGGGGCATTGTCATGCTGGAATACCCATCCACGACCCATTTTCAATGCCCTGGCTGAGGGAAGGAGGTTGTCACCCAAGATTTGACGGTACATGGTCCCATCCATCGTCCCTTTGATGCGGTGAAGTTGTCCTGTCCCCCAAAGCATAATGATTCCACCTCCATGTTTGACGGTGGGGATGGTGTTCTTGGGGTCATAGGCAGCATTCCTCCTCCTCCAAACACGGCGAGTTGAGTTGATGAGACAGCCTATAGGGAGGAGGTCAGAGATCTGGCTGTGTGGTGCCAGGACAACAACCTCTCCCTCAACGTGACCAAGACAAAGGAGATGATTGTGGACTACAGGAAAAAAAAGAGGACTGAGCACGCCCCCATTCTCATCGACGGGGCTGTAGTGGAACAGGTTGAGAGCTTCAAGTTCTGTAATGGCTTCCTTTCCTCTTTACCATAGCCACTGCCCTAGCCTGAAGCGGGGTTGTTTCGGACGCATACAGTCCACACTCAACGTTTCCAAACGGCCAAACATTCAATGAGATCCAGGGATATAGTGCAACAAAAAATGTTTATTCTTCTTATCTAACAAAAAGGTATTCTCCAATCAACTTAAAGCAGAGATTACTTGAAATGCAAATACATAATATAATATGACCTGTCTGTCTGTATTTCTGTATGTCTATATGGTCAAAAAACTATACCGCTCCCGCATCTAGCAAGGACTCCTCCCCCCGAAGGCCCAACTTCCTGCCTTTATACTAACACAATTAACACAGTACAATGAATGGGCAAGAGGGGGGGCCAAAAACTGAGTTACACTAATAACAAAATAGTCCATAGATCTCAGTCTGAGTTGAAGTGTAAAGGTGTTCAACTTCCAAAAAATGTCAAGAGTTTGACGTCCACAAAATGTATGACATCAAAGCTCCTGCATAAGTGGAAGATACTCCCTGATCCATCTCTTCCAGAAGAGGTCAGTGATATATTGTACTTGCTTCCATCTCCTTCGTGAGTATAGGTCACTTCTCTGGAATAGTCCTGGTGGCAGGACTGGCTTTGCTTTCAGATGAAGCAGATGGTTCGGAGTCAGGGGTTCTAGATCGTTAGGGTCATTTGTTACAGTAGTGATTGGTCTGTCGTTCATAATCGCCTCAACTTCACACAAGGCTGTCTGCAAAGCCTCATCATCCAGTACTTGCTCTTTAAGGACTGAATAGAGGATCTTTTTCACCAGTCGGATCAACCTCTCCCATACCCCCCCATGGTGGGCTCCAGAGGGAGGGTTGAATGACCATGTCACTCCTTCCTTCAGTAATTTATTTTGAATCTTGTTGTGATCCAGCTCTTTCAGAGCTTCTCCTAGCTCTCTGTGTGTTCCAACAAAGTTGGTGCCATTGTCTGTTCTGATACTTGTTACTGGGCCCCTTCGACAGATGAACCTGCGCAGGGCATTGATGCAGGAATCAGTATCCAGATAACTAGCAACTTCTAGATGGACAGCTCGACTCACAAGGCAAGTAAAGATCACACCATACCGCTTCACATGAACGCGGCCTCGCTTCACCTCTATGGGGCCAAAGTAATCTATGCCCACATGGGTGAAAGGCGGCAAATCAGGTGCTACCCGATCTTGTGGAAGGTCAGCCATCTTCTGTTCCCCAGCTCTAGCTTGCATCCGCCTGCAGAAGACACAGCTCTTAAGGATCTTCCTTGCTAAGGAGTTGGCACAGGGTATCCAATATCGCTGGCGAAGTCTAGAAAGCATGTGACCTCTCCCAGAGTGGCCAACCTGCTCATGGATGTGGAGTAAGATCAGTCTGGAGATGTAGGAGTCTTTGGGCAGGATCATAGGATTCTTTAGTTCCGTAGGCATAGCAGCTTTGCTTAACCTTCCTCCTACTCTCAGAATGCCATTGTCAACTATTGGATCAAGCTTACAGATTGAGCCGCTTCTCTTGGCACATTGTTTTCCTTTTACAACTAGTGCAATTTCTTGTTTAAAGTGCTGTCGTTGCTCAAATCGAATGATGACCTTTTCTGCTTCATCTAGGTCATCTACAGACAGACTTTCTTTTCCAAACGTCAGTTTGAACTTGTCAATTTGTTCCTTCAGTGAGTTTGTCAGACTCTGATCTGATCCTGGATCAGTTTGGGTGAGAACTTTCCTTTTCTGGCTTAACTGTAGTAGAAGTCTCTTCAGTTTCAGCATCCAGGCAACTGCTTTCTTCAAGCTGTTCCATGTTGAATAGTACTCAATCAGTTTGCTGGTCGGACTCTTTTCTTCCACACATGTACTGTTTACGATGACGTCTTTTCTCACCTCTGGATCATCTGGAGGGATGGAGCCAAGCTCCTCGGGGACTTTCGGCCATTGTGTTTCTGTTTTCTCCAGGAATTCTGGTCCTTTGCGCCATCTCTTTGAGTTCAGGAAAGTTTCAACATGTAATCCTCTTGAGGCATCATCGGCTGGGTTGTGTTTGGAGTTCAAATACCTCCACTGTTTTGCTTTCGATAGGTCACGGATCATAGCAACCCTATTAGCCACAAAAGTATGGAATCTCTTGGTATCGTTGCGGATGTATTTTAGCACCGACTGGCTGTCTGTCCAGAAAGTTGACTCCTCAAGTTCAATCTGGAGCTCCAACCTTAACATCCTGTCCACTCGCACTGCCAATGTTGCTGCAGCAAGTTCCAGTCTGGGGATCGTCATCTGCTTGAGTGGAGTCACCCTTGATTTCCCCAGTATGAATGCGATGTGGACCTTTTCCATAACGTTTGTGAACCTAAGGTAGCTTGCCGTGCCATAACCTTGTTCACTTGCATCACCGAAGTGATGCAGCTGTGCGGTCTTGATTTGACCAAAGTTCTCCGGCATCATACACCTGTTGATCTGGAATCTGGAGAGCTGGTCCAGCTCTGAGAGCCATCTCTTCCATGAAATAGAGTGTTCTTCAGGGATGACTTCGTCCCATCCACACTTTAGCTTGCAGAGCACTTGAAGAATTTGCTTTGCCTTTAATACGAATGGGGCGAGGAAACCTAATGGATCATAAATAGAGCTGACAGTTGAGAGAATACCTCTTCTTGTAAGGGGTCTGTTCTTGACAGTGACCTGGAAGGTAAACACATCCCTTTCAATGTTCCATCGGATTCCAAGTGCTCTTTCAACAGGCAGCTTTTCTCTGTCCAGGTCCAGTTCTTTTATCTGCTTGGCTTTGTGTTCATCAGGGATAGAAGCTAGTACAGTGCGGCTGTTGCTGACCCACTTGGTCAATTTGAACCCACCTTGAGAGCACACATCCCTGAGGTTTCTTGTGAGAGCTATGGCTTGTTCTTCTGTGGCCACTGACTTGAGGCAGTCATCAACATAGAAGTTGGACTTGACTGTTTGAATCACCTCTTCATCGTACCCCTCACAGTTGTCTTCTGCAGTCTTTCGCAGTGCAAAGTTTGCACAACTTGGAGAGGATATAGCACCGAAAAGATGTACTGTCATTCTGTACTCCTCCAATCTTTTGTTAGTATCACCATCCGGCCACCATAGGAATCGCAGGAAGTCTAAGTCATCTTCATGGACACGTACTTGATGGAACATTCCTTCGATGTCTGCCATCATGGCAATGTGCTCTTGCCGAAATCTTAGCAAGACTCCTATAAGCGTGTTTGCCAGGTCAGGGCCTTGAAGGAGTTCACTGTTAAGAGATGTACCTTTATAGGATGATGAACAGTCAAACACCACTCGTATCGTTCCTTTGCGCTTATGGTGAACGCCATGGTGTGGTATGTACCATACCTTGCCTTTCTCTCTGAGGAGCTGTTCTTGTGGTACCTTCTCGGCGTAACCTTTTGTTATCATCTCTTCCATGAAGCCTTTGTACTCTGCAGCGTAACCTTTGTCCTTCTTGAACTTCCTGATAATATTTAGAGCCCGCTGCTTTGCCATGTCACGGTTGTTTGGCAGGACTACATCTTTGTTGCGAAAGGGCAACGGTAAGTAGTAGTGATGGTCTTTGAGGGTTATGGAGCTTGATACTATCTCCATAAACCTACGATCCTCAGCTGACATCTCACTTTTCTCTTCATACTCTCTCTCAGGGAAGTCATGGTTGTACTGATTTACAAGAAGAACCCCCAGGTCGGCCATTGAGATACGATTGGCCATCACCGTAGGACGCCCGGATTCTTCTGCCATGGTACAACTGTTGAGAGGACCATTCATCACCCATCCAAAGAGGGTTTTCACTGCATACGGTCCGTTGCCTTGGCTATTTATGATTTGCCAGGGTTCCATTGCCTTTGGAGCATTTACGCCAATCAGAAGTTCGACGTCAGCATCAATCTCCTTCAACTGAACCTCTTTCAGGTATGGCCACCTTTTGAGCTCTTTCTGAGTGGGAATGTTCTCTCTTGTCACTGGGATCTTATGTTGGGTGTAGACCTTTGGTAATGCAAGAAATGTGTCGCCTTCCACATTGCCAATCTCTAATCCAGATATCTCAAAGCTCTTGGTAGGACTCTCCTGCCCCATTGTGCGTAGCAGAATTTCAGTCGCACTGCCTTTAGCTTGCAACTGCCTCATGAGTCTCTCCGTACAAAATGTTGCTGAGCTACCAGAATCGAGAAACGCATAGGTTAACACAGACTTGCTTCCATTTGCCACCTTTACTTGAACTGGCACAATTGCAAGTGCACAATCTGTACCGGCCCCGGTATCTTCACCAGCTTCCAGTGAAACAAGAGCACTGCTGACAGTCTCCTCCCGCTTTACTGCTACACCACTCATATCTGCCTTTTGAGATCTAAATCTCTCTCTTCCTTCAGTGTGCAGGATAGTGGGGTGCTTTCTTTGACAGCTCTGACAGGTCATCCTTCTTTTACATTCTCTGCTTAAGTGTCCTCTCATCAAACAGCCAAAACAAAGGCCTTTTGATCTCAGAAACTCAACCTTGAATTCATGTGGCTGTGCCTTCACCTGTTGGCAGTCGACCAATAAATGCGCACCAGCACAAAATATACATGAGATACTGGGAGCATCAGAAGGGTAGGTGCCTGGTCTCTTTACTTTGAATGTTTGTTCTTTTAAAGGTTTTTCAGAGTCACAATCTGCCACTACAGCTACTGTAGTGGCAAAGCTGCTTCCCCTACTCTTGGACTTGAACTGCTGTTTAAAGTCAGCTTCTGTTTTGGGTTTTAAAAACCTTTTGTTGTACAGGGGATCTTGAATATCTCCATACAACGGATCCTGCAGTATTTTGGCCTGTTTTTCCATGAACGTTACCAGGTCACTGAACTGGGCCCTCAGGTGACTTCTCTCTAAAATATCACATGCCATAGACCTCCATTTTTCCCTTAGTTTGTAGGGAAGTTTTGACATGATCAGCTTTATGTTGGAGGGAAGATTAAGCTCTTCCATGTTCTGTAGGTCTTGCATAGCGTTACAGCAACCTCTTAGATAGAGTGCATAACCACCCAGTCCCTTTCCATCATCGGGTTTGATGTTTGTCCAGTTCCAAGCCTTTTCCATGTAAGCAGTGGTGACTTTGATTTCATTGCCAAAGTGTTCCTTTAACAACCTCTTAGCTACTGCATAGCCTCTTCTGGCTTCCATATGCAGACAACTACGGACCAGATCCTTGGGCTGACCAGAGGTGTATTGTTCCAGGTAATAGAGCCTATCCTGGTGACTGCTTGTCTTATCTTCTATACCATGCTCAAATGCACGCATGAATGGCCTAAAGTTTAGAGGATCACCGTCAAACATAGGTATCTCCCTAACAGGGAGTGTGGCTTGTTTGTGCTGTAGTACAAGGAGGTCAGCAATTTCATTCTGCCTTTGCATGACAGTAGAGAGGTTATCATGGCTGGTATTATGGCTGATACCCGCAGTGTTGATTCTGTGTCGATTGCTAGACCTTGCTGTTGGCTGCTGAAGAGTGTGGTTTACGACTGTTTTCGGAATAGGGTTTGATGGCTTTGTGGTCGGTTGTTGTAAAACTCTTTGTAGTGGGGTCTTTGGAACTGCACCTAATGCAGCAAACTCAACAGGTGATGGTTCAGGTTCCACATAGACCTCTGGTTCCTGTTTCTCAAAATAAGAGTTCATTCCATCTTCTTGGCTTAGTAAATGGGCTGCCACAAAATGGGATTGAGAAGTTGACTCGGTACTCTCCAGGACCTTCAGTTTGGCATTATATGCTGCTATGTCCGTTTCCAGTGCCATTTTTTCCATCCTAACATTCAGTTGAGCTTTCTCCAGTTCCAATGCATGCTTGTCTTGTAATGATGCTTGGCGAGCTAGTAGAGCTGCTCGTTCTGCCTCGGCTTTAAGGCGTTCAGAGGACACTGAGGAAGCAGTCTTAGAATACTTAGTTTTACTTGATATTTTTGACACATTGGAAATGCTGTCATGTGGTTCAATGAGCGTTTGTGGCTCAACTTCAGCCTTTTTCCATATTTCCACCTCTTTCAGGAAATGTTCATAAGTTCTCATTCTTGGTTGATAATAGTTAATGCTCTCCTGTTCCTGTTCCTCCTCTGTGACCAGCTCTAGCACAGATTCATGAGCCTTCTTAAAGTCATTGAGCACAGCATCAAATGCTTCAAGACTCTCATTCACAGTTGCAATGTTTCCTCCATCAACAAGAAGGACTTTTATTTCATTCATTTTGCGTGTACACACTCCAAGTTTGCCTCTCCGGGCTGCATAGAGTGAATTTAGATGCTCCTCTGCCCTCTCCAGTGGAGTCTTATTTGGGATTTCCTCCTCCATCATTCACTTTTAGTTCACTCAATTTACAATGACACGGTTGTTGGTTTGATTGTTAAACGTAATGCCCCTTTAGACCTCCTTTAATCTTTAAAAACACAGTCATCCATTTCAGCATATTGACCCATTTTGAATTGCACATGTGCAAGTTTGGCATTTTAGATGCGTTTTAAACATTTCATCCCGTTGAGGTTTTGTCCCTTTAATGAAGTTTTAACACGCAGTATCTTTAGATCCTTAAGTTGCATTCGTTGCGTTGATGGATTGCATTTCCACGTTAGGCCAAATATTAGATATATGATTAGGCTACATTGTGCATAGGATCTGTGTTTCCCAAACTTAAACTTCTTAATTGTTTTCACAGCGCTGTATTTTGAATTCCATTCCCAAGTTTATCAAACATTCCAATTATAAGCACATTTGCGCTTCCATAATATGCATGATCAAACGATCGCCTTGAACAGGGCAGCTTATTCATTCGCAGTGGTTACTCACGGCTGGCGAAATCTAGGAGTTCAAATCCTTCCAAGCGAGCTGTCCTTATGGTCCGAATGCAATTACAAATAGAACAAAATCCAGCGTGTGTCCGAACCGGAGATTTCCTTCCGGTAGTAATCCTTCACGGAGTTTTTTGACTTGATTGTAATGGCTTCCTTTCCTCTTTACCATAGCCACTGCCCTAGCCTGAAGCGGGGTTGTTTCGGACGCATACAGTCCACACTCAACGTTTCCAAACGGCCAAACATTCAATGAGATCCAGGGATATAGTGCAACAAAAAATGTTTATTCTTCTTATCTAACAAAAAGGTATTCTCCAATCAACTTAAAGCAGAGATTACTTGAAATGCAAATACATAATATAATATGACCTGTCTGTCTGTATTTCTGTATGTCTATATGGTCAAAAAACTATACCGCTCCCGCATCTAGCAAGGACTCCTCCCCCCGAAGGCCCAACTTCCTGCCTTTATACTAACACAATTAACACAGTACAATGAATGGGCAAGAGGGGGGGCCAAAAACTGAGTTACACTAATAACAAATGAATATATCTCAATCCGGTAAATAAATCATAAAGGTACGTACCTAATATTTCATCATATACATTAATATTTAATATATTTACACAAATGTACATGGAGCTCAGTATGTTCAGTCTTTTATACAAAATATGCCCAAATCGGCTCTAACAAGTTCCTTGGTGTCCACATCACCAACGAACTATCATGGTCCAAACACACCAAGACAGTCGTGAAGAGGGCACGACAAAGCCTATTCCCCCTCAGGAGACTAAAAAAGATTTGGCATGGGTCCTCAGATCCTCAAAAAATTCTACAGCTGCACCATCGAGAGCATCCTGACTGGTTGCATCACCGCCTGGTATGGCAACTGCTTGGCCTCTGACCGCAAGGCACTACAGAGGGTAGTGCGTACGGCCCAGTACATCACTGGGGCAAAGCTTCCTGCCATCCAGGACCTCTATACCAGGCGGTGTCAGAGGAAGGCCCTCAAAATTGTCAAAGACTCCAGCCACCCTAGTCATAGACTGTTCTCTCTGCTACCGCACGGCAAGCGGTACCGGAGTGCCAAGTCTAGGTCCAAAAGACTTCTCAACAGCTTCTACCCCCAAGCCATAAGACTCCTGAACAGCTAATCATGGCTACCCGGACTATTTGCACTGCCCCCCCACCCCATCCTTTTTACGCTGCTGCTACTCTGTTAAGTATTTATGCATAGTCACTTTAACTCTACCCACATGTACATATTACCTCAACTACCTCAACTAGCCGGTGCCCCCGCACATTGACTCTGCAACGGTACCCCCCTGTATATATAGCCTCCCTACTGTCACTTTATTTTACTTCTGCTCTTTTTTTCTCAACACTTTTTTTGTTGTTGTTTTATTCTTACTTTTTTGTTTAAAATAAATGCACTGTTGGTTAAGGGCTGTAAGTAAGCATTTCAATGTAATGTCTGCACCTGTTGTATTCGGCGCATGTGACCAATAAAATTTGATTTGATTTGATTTGATTTGATGCCAAAGAGCTCCATTTTGGTCTCATCTGACCACATCACTTTCACCCAGTTCTCCTCTGAATCATTCAGATGTTCATTGGCAAACTTCAGACGGGCATGTATATGTGCTTTCTTGAGCAGTGGGACCTTGCGGGCGCTGCAGGATTTCAGTCCTTCACGGTGTAGTGTGTTACCAATAGTTTTCTTGGTGACTATGGTCCCAGCTGCCTTGAGATCATTGACAAGATCCTCCTGTGTAGTTCTGCGCTGATTCCTCACCATTCTCATGATCATTGCAACTCCACGATGTGAGATTTTGCATGGAGCCCCAGGCCGAGGGAGATTGACAGTTATTTTGTGTTTCTTCCATTTGCGAATAATCGCACCAACTGTTGTCACCTTCTCACCAAGCTGCTTGGCGATGGTCTTGTAGCCCATTCTAGCCTTGTGTAGGTCTACAATCTTGTCCCTGACATCCTTGGAGAGCTCTTTGGTCTTGGCCATGGTGGAGAGTTTGGAATCTGATTGATTGATTGCTTCTGTGGACAGGTGTCTTTTATACAGGTAACAAACTGAGATTAGGAGCACTCCCTTTAAGAGTGTGCTCCTAATCTCAGATCGTTACCTGTATAAAAGACACCTGGGAGCCAGAAATCTTTCTGATTGAGAGGGGGTCAAATACTTATTTCCCTCATTAAAATGCAAGTCAATTTATAAAATTTTCGACATGCGTTTTTCTGGATTTTTGTGTTGTTATTCTGTCTCTCACTGTTCAAATAAACCTACCATTAAAATTATAGACTGATAATTTCTTTGTAAGTGGGCAAACGTACAAAATCAGCAGGGGATCAAATACTTTTTTCCCTCACTGTAATCTCAACTGCAATCCAGGTCATTTCGTTCTGCTATTACATGAAGCACAGTGATAACACATTCATCTGTTGTATAAATAAACAAAGTATCTGATATTGTATTCCAACTTGAACTTTGCTGTGCTTTTAAATGGTTGAATGCATAGTGATAGACATTTGGGTGACAACTAAACCAAAAATCAGGCATTGTTTTTCCATTGGATTTTGGTTGTGCTTTAGATGGTTGAAAGCATTATGCTATCACATTAGGAATTCAACTAACTTTTGGATGTCTTTTTGAGTGGGTGTACATAGGTTGTAATCTCATTTATCAATATCTCAACCAAATATTACCCAATTATCCATGTTGAAATGAAATGGTGTGCCAGGGGGCAGTAACCCCTGTTGTTATGTCTGAGCTAAATCTGGTCACAAATCCCTGGACACTGTGTCATATATGCCCTGGCTGCTCCTCACCTGTAGCATTACATCTGACCCCAGGCAGACAGGCCTGCACTAGCATCTGCTAGACCAGGATGCCCAACTAAGGATGTCCAACCAACAACCACACTATGAATGTAAATTGGCCTATATGACTTAACCTATTGCCTTTCTTACCTATGATATATTATGTTTTGCCACCTGTGTTGGCCAGAGTGTGTCTGGAGCTTACCTGACTGTCAAGGAGGTGAGGGCACACCTGAGGGATAAACATTGTGCGTAGAGGAAAAGATTACTGCCTCTCTATTTCTGTACCGCAAAGCTCTTTATTGGTCTTAGGCTGCCGTGGCAGAGAATGTGTGTGTGCGTGTGATTTTGTGTGTGTGTGTGTGTGTGTTTTCCATCCACCTCCCACGAAGCATCCTACTGCGCACTCCACTGACTGTTTGGATCTATCAGAGTGTACATGATCTCTCTTCCACGGCTGGACTGAGGACCTAAAGGAAAGAAGCAATATCACAGCAGCCTATCGCAGGCATCAAGGAATAGTTGTCACGATGATAGTTACCATGTTAACAGCTATGTACATAGTGGTCAGAGTAGTTGAAAAGGTAAGGCCATGTCTATTGATAACTTTTACATGCAGTTAACAGCTGGTCCAACTTGTGGAGTTAGATATGGATTTTGGAGGTCATTCAATCTGTATATTTGACTTTGTACCACTTTATTGCACATTTGATAGGCTTTGATACGCTCTAAATAACGTCATCAAATGTCATAATGAAGTGCACTAAGGAGTTGTCCATGTATGTAATATCTTTGGATGCTACATTTCGTTTAGTTTATCAGGATCACCATTAGCCTTTGCTAATGGTGAGGGGGGGGATGTGTATGGAATGCTGTCTGATTAGCTTTTTTTATGTGAGCATGAATATCTTAGATAGCTTTGTCCACAATGAGTGCTTTTAATTAGAAAATATTGAGGAAGTTGTCCTGATTAGTGGTCTGTAGGTGTGAAAAGGAAAGTGAACTGAGGGTCAATACTCCACTTGATCTCATAGTTTCACTTTGGGATTTGACGTAATTGGATGAACACACACACCGATTGAAGGGGCTTTAATTCTCTCTCACCCACATAGAGTCAGGGTTTAATGCCCCTCTCACATACACACACACACACACACGCACACACACACGCACACACACGGTAAGAGTGTTCAACTGGCATTTAGGTAAACAGGAAGTTCAGGAACACACACACACAAATGTAATCCTTTCCATGTCTATCCCAGATAGGAGTGCGGTTTGCGCGCAGTGATCCTCCCTTGCCTTTCATGGTGACCCAGCCTCTGCCCTGGCAGGTGCACCACGTGTCGCAGAAAAGGAGGAGCAGCGCAACAGCTGAGGTCAGTCACTCAAACATTCCCATCCACAATTTGCCACTGCCAACAACACACCCCTAACACCACCTCAACACCTCATCCTCTCACCCCTCCCAAATAACATATCTCCAATGTGTCATGGCAGCAAGTTTGAGGAATAACATGAACAACTCAAACAACCACTTAGATTTCAAGCCATTTAAGATACCTCTTCGTTTAATGTTTTTGATTAGTTAACTTTACATATAATGTGCTGTGCTGAGGTGACTGCTGTGGAGTAGGAGTCATTCTCACCCACTGCATGTTCTTGAATTAGTTAACATTGACTGAGGTCCTTGACTCAACATCCAGCCAGGCAGTAGTCAGGTGTTACAGCAGCGGTGAAGGCTCAGGCTGGGACTAAGAGTAGGATGTGGGGGATGGTAGCAGTGTACAAGAAAGCCTGTAGAGAGAAGGGGAAGATAGGTCATGCTATCTGAGAACTATTTAATGAGAAACAATGGAATCTGAAAAGAAAGTTATGTGGGTGCAGTCAATAACTTTTGGTATTCCAATAACAAGACAAAGCAGCCTTTGCTTTTGAAAAGCCTGATCTGAAATTACTTTTAAATGGTTGCAGTCAGACATGATGTAGGCCACAGCTCCACAGACAGACAGACAGACAGACAGACAGACAGACAGACAGACAGGCCGATTGGTACAGTAGACAGACAGACAGACGGACAGGCAGGCCAAACCCAGGCTTCACCTCCTCCAGCAGGTGGTACCTGTAATCCCTATTGAGGGGATTTGTGTCTGTGGACATTACCCAGACTGGAGATTGGAGAGGTAGTGTGTGTGGCTCTGCTAAAGGTCAAGGCCCACAGTTGTGTCAAGAACATGTGCAGCTGTAGCTGTGTGATCTCTGGTTAAAGGGATAGCAATCTGCTGAAATAATTAACTTAACAAATGTACAGGGGAAGGGAGGTATATAATGGTCTAGAGATATCTAACAGTGCTCAGTATAGTTTCCCCAGACATGTATTACCAAATAAGGTAGTGAAAATCTCATGAAATCTAAATGTTTGAGGTGCCTACTTTTTGCTAGTCTGCCATATTCATCAGATGCCATAGAGGGGGCCAAAGTCATTCTGACACAGAGACCAAAGCATACTGACAGAGGGATGTATTGCATAACTTAGCCTTTTCAATGCCATTGTGATGATAGAATTACACAATGAACAGCTAATTAACAACACATTCGGATCCAACAACGCACAGCATTTTCAATGCCTCCGGACCATCCATTCTTGTAGTGTTGAATGCCACAAGCATCAATTACCAACATTTCCAGAATTGGCTACTGACACATCACTACGAAATTACATTCGCTACATGACCTTAGCTATGGGGACACATAGCTGCCTGTCTGCGAGTTGGGCTGTCTTGGAATGGCATGTGAATAATGACGCAATCATGTTCCAAACATTCCACCTCTGATGTTTATACTGAGCAAACAGGAGATGGACAATCAGGCATGCCTGCAGTAGCCGAGCAATTTTTGTGTATGTTTGTGAGTGTGTGTGCATGCGCATGTGTGTGTGTGTGTGTGTGTGTAAGTGAGAGGGATACAATCTGCAGTTGCTACATCCATTTTTTAAATTATAAATTATATGTAACTATTGATTCTGGAAGAATATAACCTATAAATGCCTCATGAGCTTAGTTCAACTGCTGTACCCCCTCAGAACCCAAAATATGAGCTTGATTACTCCAATGTTTGTAAACAAAGCAAATGTAAACAAACACTGTATAGCCTCAAAACATGGTTAAAACTATAATTTTTCACTCCTTGCATTCATAGTCTATGAATTTGAGAGTGGTTACTTTTCTCCAGCCCAATCCCCTAAGCTTTTCACCAAAACAGCTGTTCATTTTCCAATGCAGATTGCCCCTTTAACAACTTTTTCTGTAAAGCTTTTGATTGTAGCTTCTCTGGCAGTTTACACTGTATTCTTCTTTACAGTACGATGGTCAGACAAGGAACAGCGTAGGAGTGTTAAGAAAGAGTGAGTATGAGACCAAACAATGTTTAAAAGAGTGAAATGCACACATATAGAAAACATTTCCCAGGTGCTGAATCCGAGAGGGAAAACATTTAGATATATTTTTTTAATTGGCACATTGGTATACTGCTCCCACAGTGTTGAATGAGAAACGGACAACGGTTTGACTAGCTCTTCCTCATTACAACCCAGTAACGGGTCGAAACATCCCTTTCTCCTTAAAACACTTCGGGAGCAGCCTACGAGTGTGTGGATTTATATTTTTCTTATCTACGACACTGAACAGTCCGTGGCAATTTAGCTATAATAATAAAAGTATAATCACCTACCCACATAGAGGCTTGCTGAAAGGCTACATAACTTCCTAACCCCTAACGTTACAGACTACTTGTGCCTTCCTACTTATGTACTTGCTACGTTGTTACATACAGTAAATTCGGACCTCTTCCCCAATGCAACGCTGGCTGTTGCTGTTGCCACTTTGGCTGTACCCTGTCTCCTGACGTGCAATCGGAAAGACACTACGTGCAGCAACGGGTGTGCAGCGGCGCCCCTCAGCCCCACGCTGCCTGTGGAGAAAGCTGCCGCCACCATCCAGAACCAGTTCAGGAAGTACCAGCAGAAGAAGAAGGAGACCAAGTAGAGTCGCACCCGCACCACCGGAGCTCTGCAAGACAGACAGACACAAATACACTGGCAGGGGACACAGACAGACAGACAGACTCCGCTCTTAAATGTAAAGAGCAGAGGACCAACCATTTCATCAAACTCCATGACTCGTCTTTCATAGCATGTATACCAAAGTAAATAGTATAGATTGACTTTATGTATGTCGAACATTATACAGACACACACACATTCAACCACTAATTTAACTGACAAAATATATCACACATCCTGTGTTATACTATGTGACTGAATATATATCCTGATGTACATATTAGTATTTGTGAAGATAATTATGTGCGAGAGTATGTTTGTGTGTGTGTGTGTGCGTGTTTGTGTTTTTTGTTTGTGTGTGTGTGTGTGTGTGTGTGTGTGTCAGCGAGCATTTGAGAGTGTCAGCGTCTGTGTGAAAGCATGCACATTGTACTGTATGTATTGCAGTATGTATCAAAGATGATAGATGGATTGTAAATGTAAAAAAAAACAGATACACCCAACACACTCCATTAAACTCCTCAGTAATAATGGATTGGTTTTCTTTATGTTGTTGCACTGACCTCTTGTGTCGAAGTAATGAATTGCTCTAATTTCACATTTGTGTTATTCCGACTATATAATCAATCATTCTTGTGAGATTTTCTTAGTGAGGTTTTTAATAAGACTTGCTCGTTTTAGTTTCAAAAAGTTTTCCATTGCAAAACGTTTTGCCACAGTGTGTACTAATAAATACACCCCTTGATCCAGCAGAAATGAAAGGATGGAAAAAGGAAGACATGACTCATGGAAAGATAGCTTTATTGCACAAGTGTTGGAGTACTCTTTTTCTGGTTTTGTTTGTTTTCATAGAAAAAAACGGTAGAGTTAAACAAGCAATTGCAAATTGAAGCATCTTTTCCATAAAAGTTTAGGAACTCCCTCTGTATTTTTTAAAACGCTTTTTCCCTCACCCCCTTGTCATGAGTTTGTTTCTCCATTTTCCTTTTTCTTTTTATAACCAGCAAAATATTCAGAGCATGCAATGCCGTTTTTCCTCAACAGAAAAAAAAAAGAAAAAAAGAAAATCAATGCAAAGCAATCAATGGCCCCCAAAAAATTACAACTCAACAAAACCTCTTGGAAAAGAGGAACCAATTGTGAAAGCCTAATGTGGTCCACTCTGGATTTTTTTTTGCCCCATTCAAAAATCTAATTGTAAGCAGTGTTACTATAATTCTATAGTTTTCTTTAACCCGCTCCTGTTTCAAGTTATAACTTTAATCAAAGTTTACATTGTGCCCTGGTTTCATTTGGAGATGTCGAAAATAGTACGTATTTATACAAAACACTTTGCTATGTACAAGTCTTTAATAGTGGGGTATCGATGCTGTTGGGGCAGGAGGTGCAGGGAGGGGAGAATCTGACACCCCCTTTAGACCTGGTGTTAACATGTGTCCTTGGAATGGATCTTTGGTCACATCCGGTCACACCCGATCAAATTGTGCTGGAGTAGACATTTTGGGACAAATCTGATCACGGGACACATGTTATTACCAGTGGTAAATTATGGTCTAATTGGTCAAATAGGTGGGGCAAAGGTTAGGGTAGGGAGGGGAGGGAGTTTGATTCCTGACCCCGCCCAATATGCACACAGCTTTTCCTGTGATTGGTTGGAGCTAGGGAGTACCTGATTTCAATTGGCTAAACAGGCCTGCCCCTTCACGTGACACCACTGTGTGTCTCAAAGCAAACCTTTTAAAAATAATTGCATAACCAAGGAAGCCAAAGCAAAATAAACAGTATCATAATAACATCAACTGAAAGGAAAGGTTCTTCTCTCTGCAGACTCTCCCTGTCCTGTTCACTGTCTGCAACAGGCAGGGAGCGTGAGTGTTGTCAGTTATGAGCAGTTATAACAGTTATATGTATGGCCGGAATAGGAGTACTGTGCAAGGACATAATGACAACGGTAAGCCACAGAGGGCCCTATGTGCTGTCTTCACTAAGTTCAGTAATAAGACGTCATGGAGGTTGTCAACAGAACACACCTTTGACCTTTGGAAGGTACAATACAACAGGTTACATTTGCGTCTACCTTTTGTACTCTCTTCTTCTCTCAACACCTAAAGTAGGGTCATACTTCCACAGTTACCTGAATGCTCATGTGCCAGGGTTAGTTGTACCAGGGTTAGTTGTACCAGGGTTAGTTGTGCCAGAGGCTCTAAACTCAAATCAACAGTGGATGTTGCCTCAGCTAAGTGACTCAGTGCTGAAGCTGCTACTCACTAACCATCCACTACAAGTGCTTATAAACGGTTAAAGGTTCCCTGAAATCTTTCTTTCTTATGTTAGTGATGTCCCTCACCCTTTCCACAGGTACAATTAAAAGAGGGTTGTGCTGACCGCAATGAACACACTTTACCTCACTGACCACAAAAACCACTATGACCACAAACTACAGCAGTGTCTACTCTCCACCACAGTGTACCACAGGGGCAACCCCAAACCAAATCAACCACAGGTCTGATGTTATTAGACACAGTAACCACACCGGCTGCCATGAGGTTCACTGACCACAAGCCATTCTGACCATTACAAAATGCTAATCGACAGCATTAGTTTGCAACCGGCCTCACTGGCTAATGTACCACCCATCATTGGGCCTTCACTATATAGATACTTAGGTTTGCATCCTGAATGGCATGTTTGGTGTAGTTGTGCTCCTGCACTGTAGCTACCTATGTATTTGGCACAGGGGCAAACACCCATGAGGCCATGGCATCAATGTTCACATCCCCAAACTCGGCCTCAGATACTGTAGCTAACTCTCTATTTCATCTATCTATATCTTTCTTGGTTGTGCTAGCCGTTTCAAGTTCTTCGACACACTTTCTCCTCTTCCTCCACTCTTCCTCTTAACCTACGGCTTCTTCCACTGAGCGATTGTCTCATTATTTATGTTTTCATATATTTTCAATTACGATGACTTTATATCTCTCTGCTTTATTCAATAGTTATATATTTGCTATATATTTAGATATAAATATATATGTACATATATTTGACAACAAATATTATATATATATTTTTTTTATATTGTGAGAGCCCTGAAGTGAAATTTTCCATTGCAAACATTGGGAGCAAATTTTTTTTGGGGGACGTTTCTATTGTCATGGAGCTAAGCTTTGGGTGTAGAATGAATAAAATAAATTAAAAAAGAAACGTCAACAGAATCCGACAATAAGCTTAAATACATTTTAGTGGGATGGGGGGCCTTAGACAACATATTTATTCTTGAGACCACTTAATTTCATAAGACTAACTCATGTCCACCTGCCATCTCTTCCCTAAACACTTACACCACTGATTGGTTTGCCTTATCTTTCCATCTCTCCCTGCAAATCAATGTTCCTCGCTGCATTATCATGTTTGTATATTCTCCTCTGTTTCAATCTGAAATCTGTTTATCCATCCATCTTTCTGTCTGTTTAATCTTTTATCAGTCAGTCTGTCTGTTGTCCTGCAGTCCATTTGTCAGTCAGTCCCAGCTATTGTCATAAATGTCTGTCTGCCTAGCAGAATGTGCTAGAAGGTCACAGTGAGACTGTATGGATGGGATGGGGTATGGAGGGGTTTGGGTAGACAGAGGGGTAGTATGAAGGAATGGGGGTGTCTGGCACCAAGCGCAAATTAACGACAGAACAAAGGGTCTTCTTCCTGCTTCAGAGGGATGTAGAGAACGAGAGAGAGGAACAAGAGGAGGCAAATCAACTCCCTCTCTGTCCATCTTCCTCGTCATCTCCAAGGCGATGCTGCCCGTGTCAATCACACCAGCCAACCAAAGTCCAGAAGGGAGAGACCGACATGTGACGTCATACAGTGTGACATCATCGTCCCCAAACCACTGTCACAAGTAGCAAATGGAGAGGAGGTTTTTTAACGCACGCCTCCGCCAAGGAGTCAGAATACAGATTGATTCAAAAGGTCCACTGCAGGTGTGTACCAGCCACATGTATACATATTTACACATATACACGCACACACGCAGGCTCGTGAAGGTTCTGTGAATCCATTCTACCCTCTTTTAATGCACAAGTTTATATATTCCAAAAGAAAAAGAGAAAAACAAACATAAAACATACAGTTCAGATTCATCTTTCGTATGAAGGCGATTCCTGTTTTTTCCCCTCGCTCTGTTTCCTGTTGTCCTATAAAAGAGTCAGCAACACTATACTGTGTCATGAATTGCATGAAAATAAATTCCCCAAGAATCCTCCAACATCGTCGTTGAAACCACAGTCTGTTACCTGTTTGTGTGAGTCCGTACCAGGATGGCTTTGGAGGGCCAGAGACAGACACCAAGGTTGTTGGTTTATGCATAAGCACTTTCCGTGGCAATGCGCTGCTGTATGAATTCTGAACTCTCTGTTCAGAGACGTGAAAAGAAAAAACGTAAAATGGCCTAAAACCTCTAGACAGGTTTATGTGAAACTCTACATCTCTTAGTACTTGGTTTATCGTTCTGAATTCAAGAAAACAAGTGCACATGGAAAGTATTTTGTGCATAAGTTCTGAGGTGTCCTAACAGATAATGAGAGAGAGAGAGCGCGCGAGAGAGAGAGAGAGAGAGAGAGAGAGTAGAGAGAGAGATAGATAGAGAGAGAGAGAGAGAGAGAGAGAGAGAGAGAGAGAGAGAGAGAGAGAGCGAGAGAGAGCGTGAGAGAAAAAGTAAAAACAAATAAAAATATTACGACCATATTGAGTTTGGCAAGTTATTTCCAGGGAAGATAAAATAAAAAAATAAATAGAGAGAGGAAGAGAAAGAGAAAGAGAAAAATATAAAAAAGCGACAGAGAAAAAACAAACACGCAGAAAGAAGCCAAACTCCTGTGCTATAAAAACCCCAATCTGGCCCCTGCGGAGCGGCCCCTCTGGCCTGACAGTGCAGGCGTCAGGTGTGTATAAGTGTGTCTGTGTGGCCCCTAACCCTTCCCAAGGCTC